CCTCCCTTCGCTCTATTCCCCTTCTCTCCTCTCCTCTCCTCTGCTTCGACCCCCCACCCCCATCTCCTCCCTCCCCCACTCCCCATCTTCCTCCCCCTCCGTCTCCCACTTCTAGCTTTCCTGGTCTGGTTGTGCAAGCAAGAAAAAGTTTCTTTACTCAGCGTCTCTCCCATCCCCTTCGCCCTCCGACTCTCCTGTCCTATACCGTTCCCTCCTGCCACCGCACAGCTCGCTTCTTCTCCTGCCAACCATGACGCTCTTGTCCCATCCTCGCTTCCAGTCCCACAATCAACCAAGAATCTGTTCTTCCTCCTCCTCCCCCTCCTCCTCCTCGCTTCTTTCTCCTTCTCTTGCTGTTCCCTGTCCTTTTTCCTCCTCCTCCTCTCCCCTCATTGCGATTTATCCGTACCAGGATACGATCGCACCCCTGCCCTCCCCGTCTCCCTCCCTGAAGGCATCCCACGGAACTGCTCCAGGTTGACGCCTTTTTCTCCTCCTCCTCCTCCCCCTGCTGCTGCTGCTGCTCCTGGCAGGTTCAGTCCGAGCATAGCGGCGATCTGGCTTAAATTTCCGATTTTCTGCGGGTGACGTTAGAAGAGTGGAGAGCGGGAGAGGGCGAGAGCGGGAGGAGGAGAGACGAAGTGAAGGAGAGGAGGGAGGGAGTAGTCGGAGGACGAGGACGAGGACGAGGACGAGGACGAGGACGAGGACTTGGTGCCAGGGATGAGGGATGAGGGATAGAACAAGAGGAGAGGAGGAAGAGAAGGGGAGGGGCAAGGGCGAGCACCTGTGTGAAGTAGTATCCTGCAGCAGCAGCGGCAAAGAGGAGGAAGGTGAGGAGGTAGAGGGGGTTGGTGAGCAGCCACAGCAACTCATCCCAGCCGAGGAGGAGGAGGAGGAAGGCGACCATGAGCGAGTTGTGGGTCGAGGAGTTCCTCTTGCTCTCGAGCGCCCAGACGAGCTCGGGCTGGAGGAGGCGGAAGAACTTGTCACGGAGCTGGTCGGCAGCTGGGGGAGGGATGTAGAGGGAGGGGGTGTAGCCCTCAGGCCTCTCCTCCTCCTCTTCGTAGAGCTGATCCTCCGCAAAGGCGTCGAGCAGATCCAACCCTGCTCGCTTGGCCGCCTCGAAATCCTGAAGCAAGATGAGACGAGGGAAGGTGGAGAGAGGACGAGGATGAGGATGCGGTAGACGAGGAGGACAAGGAGGTAGCGGTAGAGGAGGAAGTGGTGGTGGTGGTGGTGGAGGAGCAGGAGGAGCAGGAGGAGCAGGAGGAGGAGGAGCAGGAGCAGGAGGAGAGGGAGGAAGGGGATGAGGAGGAGGAGGATGGGAGGAGGAGGAGGATGAGGAGGAAGGGGAGGAGGAGGAGCACTGGAGGAGAAAGGTGATGGTAGCCGATAGGGATTCACCTGCTCTGGATTGTCCCATAGCCTCCAGACTCTGGTCTTGTGATGATTGAACTTGGAGTCGAAGCAAGCGAACATCTAGGAGAGATGAGAATTACAAACAGAACAAGGAAAGTAACATACAGGAGATGAGAATTACAAACAGAACAAGGAAAGAAACATACAGGAGATGAGAATTACAAACAGAACAAGGAAAGAAATACAATGAAAAGAGACTCAAGTTGTGACAGGAAGAAAGGAGAAGTGTTGGCGAGCAACAGCAGGTTGTGTCCATGACGGAACTATGAAACGAGAGCGTCGAGAAGGAGTGGTAAAGAAAACACAATCTCCAACACAAGACCAAAACTTCAAGCATGCGGAGCAAACACACAAGACACGACCATCGCCCATCACCTTGTTCTCAAAGTTGTCCTTCATGGTCTCGTTGGAGATCTTGTCGTGAACGAGCTCGCATGCGAAGTGCTGCAGCTGCTTCTCCTCCTTGTCCATCTTCTCCTCCCTCCCGATGTCTCGCAGCAACTTTTTCATGTTTGACATGCTGCCGTTGATCGCCGTCGCCTTCGCCTCTCGAATCAGCTGCCACATGTTGGGCGAGGCCTTGTCGATGATGCGAACAAGCTCCTGACCCCAGCAGGTCAGCAAGAGCAGGAGCAGGAGCAGGAGCAGGAGCAGGAGCAGGAGCAGGAGCAGAAGAAGCAGGAGGAGGAGTAGCAGCAAGCAAGAGCAAGAGCAAGAGCAAGAACAAGAACAGCAGCAGCAGCAGCACGAGGAGGAGGAGGAGGAGGAGGAGGAGGAGGAGCAGCAGCAGCAGAGCAAGAGCAGGAGCAGGAGCAGGAGCAGGAGCAGGAGCAGGAGCAGGAGCAGAAGAAGCAGGAGGAGGAGTAGCAGCAAGCAAGAGCAAGAGCAAGAGCAAGAACAAGAACAGCAGCAGCAGCAGCACGAGGAGGAGGAGGAGGAGGAGGAGGAGGAGGAGCAGCAGCAGCAAGAGCAAGAGCAGGAGCAGGAGGGACCTTGTCGAGGCTTTTCTTCATGGCTCTCTGTGAATCGGCGACCACGAGCATGGCGAACTCTTTCCTCATGCTTTCAGCCTCCCGCTCGAGATGCTTGCGGAGAAGAACCTCTGCTCCCTCCGGCTCCTTCAGCAGACTGTGAGGATGCGGAGAGATGGAGGGAGAGCAGGGGAGAGAGAGTGACGAAAGATAGGAAGGAAGGGGAGTAGAGGAGGGTGGGGGCAGCAGGAGGACAGAGGGGAAGGAAGAGGGAAACGCAAGGAAGGCAAGCAGGAGGGAGAGAAATGAGATTCAGTCAGAACGAGTCACCTCAGGCCGAACTTTCTTTCCCTCCCTCCTCATATATGACCTCTCCTCCACTATCCATCCTCGTCGTAGACCTTGATCTAGTCACTCACTCACCCCTCCTGCTCTTCATGCTGCTATTACTGCAGCTCCTCCTCCTCCTCCTCCTCCTCCTCCTCGCCCTCCTTGCCCT